AGTGTGTCTAAGATGCTTTCAATTCGATTAAATTTTAATTGGAGAATTTTGAGCTAATTTTTAGAAGTCCAACATATTTGACGCAACATTGCGTCTTTCAAAGTAATGACGGACCAGCAGTGGCGAAACTGTACATGGCTAAAACATATCGCAGGCTGCCAAGCTTTTCTTTACGGACCTCTAATGCTCGACGCAGAAAATCGGATTGAACAAGTTGCAGTTCAAAAAAAAAGTTGATACTGTGACAAAATAGTCAAAAGCTCATATTTCCGCAATTTTCATTTTTGCTTTTGAAATAGCCTAGTTTTCATCTTCTTTGTTTTTTTTAATTAGTTACAAAATGCGCAAAGTCCTTGTTTGTAAGTTTTATATGAAAGATCTTCAAAATTAGATAATCTAACGCTTTGTTGCGTATTCAAGACACAACTTGCCGTCCAGTTTCTTCGCAGCTAATGCTGCCCCCTCTGCTAATTCTGTTTCCGAGGTCGCCATGAGCTTCGTCAAAGCATCCAACAAGGTTGACCAGTCCCATTGAGCAAGCTGCAAAGCCCTGGCTACAAAGCGGCTAAGTTGGTTACCAAAGTAAGGGGAAACCTCTGGGATAAACATTGCTGGAAACTCTTTCACCACTTCGCCCTTGGTTGCACGGTCTGTAGAAGTCAACAGGAAACTCGAGAGAGTTTTCTGAAAAAAAAATTTGAGTAAAGAATATAATTAGACGAACTGAACCTACCAAAACGGATCCGAGCGCGTCTGGCTTCAACCTCAGAAATGCCTGTATGGCTTGTATGGATATCTTACGAACGGTGATTTTGGAGCTTCCTAGTTTTGGCACGAGATTTGGCATCAGGTAGCAGATACAGTACTCCAGATTCTATAACAGTCATACGATTTTAGGTGGAATTAATTCCTTTAAGCGAAAATCTGATTTTTGTATAAACGAGCTGAACCTACCAAATTGGTTGGTTCAGTTCGTTTATACAAAAAGAAATGGGTTAAATTGCTTAAAACGTTACTTGAATAACATTTTTCAATTTATAAATTTCAAAAATCATTCTCTCTTCATAATCTCAAGATTTCTGATTGAAATTTTCGTATTTAAAGGCGACAAACTGCAACTGGCTTTCTCTAGATGGTTGCAATCGAGATATTAGTAGAAAAGGAGCTGGGCACGAAAAGGAAGGATCTTGCTACTCACCGATCCAAACGTCGCCATAGCTTCCTGTAAGAAT